TCAATATTCACAGAGAGAATGAGTTCAAGCCGGTACGGGAGATGACGGTACGCATATATTTGCTAATATATTGACTAATCGTGCGTCAATAAACTCAATATTCACAGAGAGTATAGCTAAGACATGTGTCTATAGGTATCTAGAATTTTAGAAATTTAATCATCTGAAATTCACTTCCGCGCGCATAACTAATCGTGCATGACTAGCATGACTAATCGTGCCGCTTCGTGCGTCAATAAACTCAATATTCACAGAGAGTATGAATTCAAGCCGGTACGGGAGATCTTTTGCATAATATATTCTAGATACCTATAGACACATGTCTTAGCTATACTCTCTGTGAATATTGAGTTTATTGACGCACGATTAGTCAATATATTAGCAAATATATGCGTACCGTCATCTCCCGTACCGGCTTGAATATAGATGCTCCCAGCTGATTCGCGCTTTGTTTTCATCGGCGCGGCTCACCGCACGTATTGCTAAGGGGAAGTGACGTCACTCCGCCCCCACCTATACTACTATCTAATATGCCGGACCGTACCTCGCCTACTCCATTAACGAGTCTAGGGAGTAGCCTACGCCTACTCCCTAACACTAACCCTAACCCTATAACCATATCAGCTAGATAGTTACCAGCCCAGGGTACGTTCCGGCAGTACCCTGGAGGCTGGGGGACATAGTCATAGACTAGAGACTAGAGTCCCTATGATGAGCTAATGATGAGCTATGAGCTATGAGTATGACTATGAGTCCCTAGGGCTAGGCTATGATGAGGTCCAATACTATTACTAAATACTAATAGTAATACTGATCACGATCATACATTATTTATTATTAATATTATGATTGTGTATTACAACGTGTTATAAGTTACAATCTACTCACTTAAAATAGTTAAACAATTACATTTCACGCATTATTTAGTTATTCTAAATACAAACCATTTTCACGTGTGTTCACAAAATTCTCGAACGCAAACACTGACATCTAGCGGCTAATAGGAAACTAACACATAGATGGGAGCGACGCCGGTGCTGACAGAGTTTAGAATAGTAATCCTCATGCCTTTGCGAAACTTGTAGCCAACTGGTAAAGATGTCGTCGAATGACTATCGTCGGAATGACTCTGTAGAAGTTATTAATTTATATCAGATTATATTCGTACTTCTTAATTTCACATTCTAAAATAACCTTTATTTAAACAGGAAGCACGACAAAGTTTTTCCGGGAAGGAATACAGCAGGTATGCCTATTCCTTTGTAGATGCTATTTCATAACCTGATCATTCAATGACAATGATTCACTCAGCTTAGAAAATGTACCATCAGGCATCACTCATCAGTCATATGCAGTTGATAGACGTGTCGTCAGTACGACAGTAGTAAGGAAATAATAGTGAATGGGCGTATCTATACCTTGTATTTATAGCATAGCTATACAGTCTGATATGACGTGAGTCTGTACGATTGGAGATGTTTTCATGGTATTGGTAAAAAAGTAACACTTATGTTATACTAGTTATTCTATACTCTATACTATAGTTATAGTAATTAGTATTAGTAGTACTATAGTACTACTAGTAGTAGTAGTAGTTCATTCCCTGATTCGGCCAGTTGTATATGAACTTTCCCTGCACTGTGCCTATTGCCATATGTGATCATTCTTCTTCTTTTTTTCTAGTGATGGCAAATGCTGTTTCCCAAAACCCGTTTCCCGTGGCATCGCGCTTCTTCTGTCACCAGTGCAATCAGGAAATCGAACCCGTGTTTCCTGAGGTAAAATGCCCTAACTGCAACACGGGCTTTGTCGAGAAGCTGGAGGAGCATGCGGCAGGCGTCGCCGCGCCTACGCGTGAGGCGGAGATGGCCGGTCAGATCGCAGACATGTGGACACGTATGCTGCTGAACACTCAGGTCGGCCATCCTCCTGCCGGGAGGGTCAACCAAGGGCACCGCTTTATCGGGGCCCACACACCCTACCAGAGCCCGAGACCGCGCCCCCGCCAGGACGCTCCGATGTCGGATGGACAGGCAAGAGTAAACATTAACGCTACTGTACGGTGTAGACAGGAACGATGGTTGCATTGTGCTGTCTTACAGTTGCTGAATTGAATAACTTTTACATTGCGGTGCCACAGGGTACAGGTATGAATGACTACATTGCACTGCGACGTCTTACTGTACAGGCAACAATGACCACGTTGCACTGTGACGTCTTCCCTTGCAGGCAAGAATGGTTATATTGCATTGTGATGTCTTAATATACGGATATGAGTGACTATATAGCAATGTATGAGATTGTTACTATACTACTGTATTGATTGGCCAATTCTAGCAGCAGCACCAGCAGCAGCACCAGCAGCACCAGCAGCAGCACCAGCAGCAGCACCAGCAGCAGCATCATCAGCAGCAGCAGTTTGAAGATCTCCTTCATCAGATAATCGGGGGCCTGACAGGTGGTGGCGGGGGCACTGCCATCTTTACGACGGGGTCAGGCGGCGGACCGATGCCCGTGTTCGTTAACCTGCACGGCAATCCAGGTACGCGGATCGGTCGCAATCTCACGCCGCGCCGTCCTTCGCGTAGGAATACCAGGCGTGCCGCGAATGGAAAACCTGGTAGTCCTAATTAGTGTTATCGGTACTGTTTAGCTGCTGGTTTTATGGGTGCGCTCACGGAAACTAGCGAGAACTCGGGGGGGGGGGTCTCTCGAGCGTAAAGTCGAACGTCGCGCGGGGGACTCGATCATAGTCGGCCGTACGGTCGTGTTTTTTTTTCACTTATTGTTATTAAATCTTTATTGCATATAATTCAAATACAATCCTACGGTCGATGCACATTTTTATTTGTCATTATTAAATCTCTATTGCATAAATTTCAAATACAAGTATACGTACTGAATACGGTCTCTTTCGCGGAGAAAAAATCCAACGGAAGCAGTCGCGCAAAGCCGTTAAAAATACCACGATTACCACTGCCAGGCGTGCCCGTCGTAATCCATCGTAACACGTTTTGTCGGCGCAGGTGACTACGCGTGGGGACCGCAAGGTATCGACGCCATTATCACTCAGCTGTTGAACCAGATTGACGGCGTCGGACCGGCCCCCGCTCCCGCAGACGCGATCGTCAACCTGCCATCGGTGAGCATCACGCAGGAGCAGGTGGACGCCGCCGCGCAGTGCTCCGTCTGCTTCGAGGATTTCCGCCTCGACGAGGCCGTGAAGAAGCTGCCGTGCGAGCACTGCTTCCACGAGGAATGCATCGTGCCGTGGCTGAAGCTGCACGGCACGTGCCCGATATGCCGCAAGGTCGTCGCGACGGGAGAGGACGGCGCCGACGCGGCCACGGCAGCTAGCGATAGTGACTCTTTCTTCGAGGTGCTCATAGGCGCCGCGGGCGGCAGCAATAACAACGCCAACACGTCGACGAGTAGTGGAGGTGCCGCGCAGCGTCGCGGCAACAGCTCGAACACGGATGCAAGCAACAACGAGCCGCGGTTAGATTTTATAGACGAGTACGACTAGCAATGAATCACATGGTAGGCTCTGTGATCATGCTGCAAGTCACTTGCATACCTGTTTATAAACGCGTCACACTATCTCACAATGTGACAATGGCCTCGTGTTGATTGTCCCATCGTGACCATAGTTGCCCTCGATGTCTTTCCTTTAGCCCTCCCTGAATGCGTTCTTGTCTTGAAATTGTTAACATTGTCATATGTATATTCATTTTATTGAGCAGAGATTTTCTTATAATTGATTCAAGTGTCCTAATCAGTCTTGATCGGAATCTTTGAGATACAAATTAGTTACAAGGTTTATCCCACCATTCTTACAAGATGGACGACGATATCACAGACTTGTCGATATGTTGAATAAAAGGTGTGATCAGAAGAACACCAGACAAGTAGAAACAGCTAGTTAACAATGTTTTTGCCAGTAACCAATTAAAATATTTCAATATTTTTACAGGTAGAAGAAAATATAAATACAAATATCACCAAATAGCAACAGAAAATTGATTGCGTTGAAATGATACTTTGGTAAGTTTATGTGAACCTGCAGCCATTGTAGTGCTGCAAGAGAAGCTAAGAAAATCATAATATTGTGTGTCGTATTTAGGTTAAGCATGGCAGTTAGGAATGTAAAGAACACGGACTGTAAATCCGACAAATTTAGTAAAAGTGGAAATATTGTACACTACACAGCTGCAGTCATAAATTATTTTGCGCTAAATAAATGTACCACTCGATGCTCAATACCTCACACTTCAGATTCAAAGTACATGTAAGCATTTGATAATAAATACTAAATTGTGTATTATAAAAATCATTTCTGATTAATCACAGACTGACTAGGGTGGGCTATGATGAATCGCACACTCCTATACTAATCACCAAGTAAGATGATATATGAATGCCAAATTTACCCCGATCACTGTCACGTCATATTTATGAAGCAAACGATGTACGTGGCATCATTACTGAGATTTCATTTGATTGGCAGCGACGTTGGCTTCACTAGGGTATCGGCAAGCGGCCTGTCGATGCCAAAGTCTGAGTTGTGGTCGAGGAGGTTGGGGAGGTTGCGGTCGTGCCGTACTCTTGGTAGTTCGGACCGATGTGCCGGCAGTGGCTCCGTGAAGAAGTAAAAATGCATCAGAGCCTGTAACATGAATTTGTCAAATTTGCAAGCATCATACAGCTTGGATTTTCATTTGCGCTTCCGGCAAAGGTACAGGATTTTACGCTAAAATCAAGATTTTTTTTAGAGAATACTGTATCCTTTTTATTTTTAAAATCGTTTTCGTTGAAAGATTTGGAGTTAAAAAACCATCTATGACTATCAACCTCTACTGCCCAAGCTATAATATATATATATGCCTCACAGTACCTGCCTCAGCATATCAGGCTACATACTTGTTCTGCTGAGATTCTCTGCTTGGATGGGTAGCGAAGGAAGCTCTGTAGAAGGAGCACAGCTGCGGGTGTGGCATTCGGCACCACCTCCTGCAGCGGAATTGGGACCTGCTCCTGAAAGCTGATCTTGTTGTAATCCGGTAGCTCCGTAACACCCTGACGACATCCCATCACAACAAATTAGAAAATTCACACGACAACATTCAACATGCTTAATATTTAATTTCCTGGTAAGAGGAATGCACCCTGCCAGCTCTGCAGTAACACGCGTTAAGCACGTTGTAAATGTAGTATGTTTAGAGAGTTCCTACCGGCCATACGTCCTCGTTGGGGGTTCCAAATACACGCAGCACACAGCAAAGCTGTTCGATGTCGTTGTCACCCTGAAACGTACACGACAAATCAGCAAGAGAATTGCGAAAGAACGCAAAGAGAAGAAGCAAGAGAACTCACGACTTCCCTAAAAATACGGCTGCTACGTGATCAGCTACAAGGGTTTCACCTCAACCAAATAATGCAATAACTCGTGAAACATCCACCTTGTATCTTAATCACAAATTCTACCCTTTTTTCTGCCATCCGAGGTATGTATTATCATGGTCTAACGTCATGTTTGGCACCACAAAGTACAGCTACTTGTAATCTACTGACAAGATTTATATGATATCCATGTACATACAGGAAATAAGGGCGAGATGTTTAGGAGTTCTCCAAATATGCATCCAATTGCCCTAGGAAAGTACAAACACATATTAATACATTGTAACTGATAAGTAATAACACATCTCTACTACTACAGATGTAACTCAACTTAGTATTTTACACCATTTGCTATACTTCCTTATATGTTTAACTACGTAAAAATACATACCATAAATCCACCCCTTCGTCATACTTTCGAGCTCCGTAAAGCAACTCTGGTGCCCTGTACCACCTGACAAAACATGCAGAGATATTACGATTACTGTGACTGCCAGCATGGGTGTAGCAGACGTCTGTGCTAGTGTACAAATGAAACCATATCTTTCATGGGACTTTGTACTAGCTCTATGATGACGTGAGGCTATGTACACCAGTGTGAAAGTAGATTAAAAGTAGATAGAAGTAAAATTGCCCTAAAAATTATACCTGGTGGCCACCTGGTGGCTATAATTTCGATCGCTGTCATTGCTAAAAACACGTGCCAAGCCAAAGTCAGCAATCTTGAGCAGTCCTGTGTAACTCACGAGTAAGTTGGCTGGTTTCAGGTCCTGCGAAATTACAGCAGGGAAGTGGAGGATCGTACGATAAACATACAATATACCTTTTTGTGAACATGGGTTAATCACACTTCTCATACAGTGCACACTGCTGCTACCTGATGACCTTATAAACAAAATTCATTGCCTAGAGACATGTAACCGTGATAATACATCTTCGATATAGTTTTCCTTAATTTGTAGGATATACATACAATTATACATACCATGTATAAGATTGGTATATTCACGAAACTCGGTTACAAGATGAATATTTAAACACCCTTTCCTCACCCTGTGCATGATACCATGGTTATGCATGTAGCCAACTCCTTTCAGTATCATGATCATGTAGGACTTCGCCTGCGATTCCATCAAAGGATGCTGCGTATCTCGAATTAGAGTGGTCAGATCAGACGGCATGAAATCAAATGCCAGCACGAACCCCATGCCATGTGGAAACAGTTCCCTGAGACTTATTACCTGAAATTTACATGATTATATCGTAAGCGTTGTGAACTGTATGCATGAAACGTAGCGACAATTACATAATATGATATCAAATCAATTGTGTAATAGAATTTATCAATCCTGTAAATTCTGCTTTTAAGAATATTTATATTTATATTAGTTTACATATTTATCTGATTGAATTATCTGCATCATGTTTTGTTGTTGTTTTTAAATCGTGAGATCTTCCCATTACAACTCAACATACATACATTTCATCATCATACATACATACATCTCATATCAACATACATACATTTTCATGGTCTTCAATTTGCTGCAATGCCTTTATTTCCCTGAAAAATGAATATACCTTATCCACACTGAAAAGCAGTTTAATGGCTTTGTAACGCAAGATAATAAATCATCAATTTGTCTGTCAGGATTTTCCAATCAGAGTGGTGCCCATTTGATGTACATACAACATTGTGGCACATTTATGTAGCTTTACCAAGCCATACTGGTGTCACAAGGTTGCATCAAAAACCAGGGAATTGATGAATTTATAGATTACAATGTGTTGATAGATTTTCCAAGTGTATATAAAAGATGTGATACTCGATGTATTATTATTTGCACTCATATTACCAGTATGGAATATTTACCCTAAATGATTTTACATGTTTGCAAGAACTGTGGCATTTCCGTTATTAAGCATGTGTGCAGATGTAATGTTTACCTAAGAGCAGTGTTTGGAATTCCATCCTCTATCTTCTTCAGCTGGATTTTCTTCAAGGCCACGGTCTTACCTGTCTACAACAATTACGCTGCTGATAGAGCGTGGTGTGTGGCATCTAACAGATGCAGGAAACTGCAGTAGTCAGAATACGCTAAACTCCCTTAGAGTTTTGCTTTGCACACAATATGGAAGTGTGTGTAGGGGGGATGTGTAGAGGGGGACAAGGATGTGTAGAGGGGGACAAGACTACGGTCTTGTCCTAACTACTGCACTTCATCCAATATCATAAACATATTTATACTAATATATATACTTAGTTACACGTAGTATGAATATATGTTCATGTATAGTGTCCTAAGAGCTATACCTCAATGTGTCTAGCCTTGAACACAATTCCATGTGCACCCTCTCCTATTCGCCCAAGTATTGTATACTGGTCCATTTTACAGCTGCTCCTGTTGATTCACCAAAACATAGCTGCAACACCACTCCTGCACATGTGCAGTAGGAGCCGCATGTACTTATGCTGATGCGACCTGTAATGAAATATCCAACATTTACACACTCAATGCATAGGCTAAAATAATTTCCCTGTGAGAAGTCCCAAGAGAATGAGTGAAAAATATGTATGGGTTATATTATCACAGCTCAAGCATATATCATGACCTAGCTCTAGAACTATAGCCCTCCGCTCCGCCGCAGGCCTGCGGCGGAGC